CAGGGACAGGTCTTCTGCAGGGTTAGGACTAAGGCAGGAGAGGGGAGGAGGCAACCTGCTCTCTGAATACAGCGTCCCAGAAACCCTGTGCTGACCACAAGCACGCACACACACACACACACACACACACACACACACACATACACGCACGCGCACATGCTCAAGACTTCCACAAGTGGGGCTGAATTGACAGTACAGCAGGTAGGGTGTTTGTCTTGCACACGGCCGACCCAGGTTCGATTCCCAGCATTCCATATGGTCCCCTGAGCACCGCCAGGAGTCATTCCTGAGTGCAAAGCCAGGAGTAACCCCTGTGCATCACTGGGTGTGACCCAAAAAGTCAAAACGTCAAAAAAAAAAAAAAAGAAGACTTCCACTAATAGGACTGGGGAGATAGTACATTGGGAAGGGTGCCTGCCTTGCACACAGCCAACCTATATGGGCTCAAACTCCAGCACCCCTATATGGTCCCCTGAGCACCGCCAGGTGAGGTGGTAATTTCTGAGTGCAGAGCCAAGAGTAATTCCTGAGCAAAGCTAGGTGTGACCCCAAGACAAAACAAAAAGACTTCCACAATGATAAGCAAAAACATCGGGGGGGGGGGGGGGGAAGGAGCTCTGTTTCTATCCTTCTATCCCTTGTTCTTGTCTTGTTTTGCTTTTGTTTAAGAAAGTGGGCTACAGAAATCAGAGAGCCATAATTCTATTTAAAGGACTAAAGAAAGAAAGAGCAGTGGAGGGGAGGTGCGGGGGGGAGGGGGGACGGGGCAGAGAGACAGGACAGCAGGTAAAGCGCTTGCATGTGACCAGCCCGGGTTCGATCCCTGGCACCCCATACGGTCCTCCGTGCCCCACCAGGCGTGAACTGTGAGTGCAGAGCCCGTCAAAAGCCCTGAGCAAAGCCGGGCGTGAACCAATATTTAAAAGAGAAAGCAGTGAGAAGCCATTTAGCCGCAATAAATGAAAACAAGGCTTTCTGTTCGGTCTTGTATTTAGAGACTCTCCAACCCCATACGGCCAGCCCAGAAGGCCAGGGTATTCGCAGGAGGTGTCCAGGCCTGACCCGAGGTCAAGATATGCCTGTGGCCTCAGGCACCAAGTGCCACAAGACTCTGAGAAACCGCTGATAGACGGGGGGACATCGCCCTCCCCCTTCTGGCCACGACAATCACTGTCCTGACCAGCTGGTACTGTGGACAGTTTATTTTTCTATTGTGTGCAGCAACATAAACCAGAATTGTGGGCCGGGACGTGGCTCAACAGTCGGACACAGGTCTCCCCTGTGGGAGGCCTGGAGTCCGCGAAAACAAACGGAAAACAAAAGCCAGAATCTACTTCTGACTGTGGCCTTCCCCTTCCCCCTCCGCAGACAGAATGGAAGAAGCGGACTCCAGTGTTGGACCAGCAACGGCCTGTGCAATCAGGACAAAATGCTGCCTCCCGGCATGGCTGAGCACCAGGAAATGAGGCTCCACACTGCACCCCGGGAGCTGAGGCCGGGCCCAGAGCTGTCACTGCTCGGGCAGTGCCCTTGTAAATGATGGAGCAGTGCACATTTTCAAGGAGAGGGGGAAGGCGGGAAGGGGGTGACAAGTATGCAAAGGGATTTGGTCGGGTGATGGCGTGCCGAGTGCCCCAAATCCAACGACACCTAGCTCACCTGTGCTGGGTCACCTGTGCGGGAGCAGCTATTTAAGGCTGTGGCTGCACCTGCAGACTCAGAGGCCTCCCTGGGGACCCCTTCCACGTAACAAGACCTGCAGCTATTTCCAACTCTCCTTCCCTCCAGCCCCCCACCTAATCTACAAGTGCACCCCGAGGTCTGTCTTCAGCACCAAAGAAGCTCTAGACTTGCTCATTCTGAAACAAAAGACCCCTCTCTCTCTCTCCTCTATCCCTTCCTCGCCTCCCCCTGCAAACTCCCCCCTCCCCCCCCCCCTGACTTTTGCCCCTAATTCCCCACCCACTCATTTTACAAACAGCTAAGGGCTGACCCCAGACTGTTCCAGGACCTCTGACTTTTGGCTCCCCAAGCCGCTGAAAAGAGCCTCTTGTCCCAGGCTCCCTGCCCTGTCCCCCTCCTCTCTCTCTCTTCCTTCCGCCCTAGACCCTTTCCCACTCTCTATGCCAACAGTTGCCCACACTGGCCCCAAACCTCCACGCCCACATCCCATCAGCGACAGGAATTCCCACTGGTGCCACCACTGTCTCCCAGGGGCCTCAAATGCAGCAGTCGAGCCACGCCACCCCCCACCCCCAAGACATATAACCATCCTGACACCTCGGAGCACATCTGGATCCCAGCAGCAGGAATGCCATCCAATCAGGTCTTCCTGCCCCGCCCCCGCCACCAAACACACACCCCCCAGGGGTCGCCTTTGCCCAGACAGAGTCTGGGACTTTGGTTGGTTGAAATTAGGGGTGCGAGCTGGCTGGGAGAAAGGGCAGGAGTCTGTATTTACTCGCCGCGAAGTCGTGCTCTGGACCTATCAGTCCCTATCAGAGAAAGAAGGGCAGAAACGTGGAGATAGGGACTAAGCCCCGACTCCTCCCTGCAGGCGCCCCACCTCCCCCGAGCACCCCACCCCTGTCGTTGCTCTAGGACAGAAGGTCACTTTTTTTTTAACACTCACTGCATTTCCTGGGGGCCGGGGGCGGGGGGAGGGGGGTGACTCCTTAGCAAAATCAGGACCCAAACCTACCGCCCACTTACACCTGCCAACCCCCTCCCCGCCCCCTCCTCCCCGCCCCCTCCTATGGGGGCCCTGCAAACTTGGGTTCTACTGTTCCCTTTCCCTCTGGAACTCTCCCACCCCATCCCCAGGGGATCATCCAGCTCCGAGTCCGGAAGGATTTGTTTTAGACCCAACTGGCTCAGATCGGAGATAAGGAATGGCTCAAGGTCAACACCTTTTTCTGGCACAAAGAAGGCACTTCACTGCCACAACTGGTGCGCATCGATCATTACAAGGCCTGGACTCCAAAACAGATGTTTCTCTTGGTTACAGCAGGGATGTGCCCTAATTTGCACCCGGTGCTCTCTTACCCACGCTAGGGGCACTGCAGCAGTGAGCACACACCCACCGGGTGGCTTTCCACATTCCCCTGCTGACTCTTCCCCAGGCACGTCCCCCCTGGGAATTCTGTGGTGCCTGGAAGCACCCTCACACAGACTCCGACTCCATCCACTGTCCCACCCCCTTATTGGACATCCAGCCCTCCACCTGTTCAGGAACCAGCTCATTCAAGGGAGGAAATGAAGCCCTAGAAAGAGGCAGCAACTTTCTGGATACTGCCCAGCAAATCAGAGGGGGCGGCAGTCAGCCTCGAGGCCCCAGCTCAAAGATACAACCCGTGGAACCCTGGCCTGTGATCCTCTGTCCCAAAGCCACATGTAATTAGAAGTTATAATCCTGTAATTCTATGATGACATCTTTGAATTTAAATATAACTTTAAAACTTCTCTCTCTCTCTCTCTCTCTCTCTCTCTCTCTCTCATGCCAAAAGAAATTTAAGAAATTTAGCACTGTAGCACTGTCCTCCTGTTGTTCATCGATTTGCTCGAGAGGGCACCAGTAACGTCTCACAACAAATTGTGAGACTCGTTACTGTTTTTGGCATGTCGAATATGTCACAGGTAGCTTGCCAGGCTTTGCTGTGCGGGCAAGATACTCTCAGTAGCTTACCAGGCTCTCTGAGAAGGGCAGTGGAATCGAACCCCAGTCGACTGCTTGCGAGGCAAACGCCCTACCTGCTGTGCTATAGCTCCAGCCAAAGGAAACTGAACCAGAAATATTTTCTCCATGTAGTCTTCACCTGTTTCCAAATTCCCTTCTAGTCCCACCTCTGCCCCAGGACCTTTGCTCCCCTAGCAGTGAGCTTGGGGCCCAAGGCCAGCTCACATGGAGAAGGAATTGGGGAGGAGGGACACCCCCCCGCCATGCCCTACCTGCCTGCCTCGCTGGGCACTGAACAATTAAGAATAGATTGTTCTGTGGGAAACAGTTTCACTTCCCTATTTATAATTACGCACTGCACCCTGGGTCATATAGGTTATAAAACAACCCCATCCCACCCACTCGGTCCAGCTTGGCCCACCGCCAAAGGCTATTTTTAGTCCCGCGCGGGGACCTCGGAGGAGGAAGGGTGGCAGGCAGGTGGGTGTCCCCGGGGCTCTGGACATAGCCCGTCCGGGTGTCGCTGCCTGCGGGCCTCCTCGGGGCGCCCCACTCCGCGGACGCACTGGCATGCGAGGGGACAGTCACTACCCTGGCCGGAGCCAGGGTTCTCCGGGCCGTCCACGCTCCCGTAGAGCCGGCCTGGCCGCGCGACCTTGCCCCTTGGCACCGGCGGAGATGCGCGTCAGCCTAAAGTGAGCCGGGGGAGCGGCGGCCTCCCGTACCGCAGCCCCGAGCGCGTTTTTTTAGGTGACCTGGGGCAGAGCACGGGGTGACGCCCGAAGTCACCCTCCACCAGCAACTCTTCCCCGCCTCTATAAAGCCCAAGAGGAGGGGTCACTTGTTGCATGTTGCGGGGTAGAGAGAGCCGCAGAAGAAAGCCAGACCGTCTGGGACGCGACTTCGCTCTCCCCGCAGCCCCGCCAAGCGCTTGGGGTAGCAGCTGGGCTCGGCTTCCACCGCGCCGCGAGGCCGAGCGGCGCCAGCTACTAGGGGACCGGACCCCTGCCCGGGCGCGCGGCACCGCCGGCGAGGGGACCCCCCGCGCGCGCCGTCCTCCGCCGGCACCTGCGCGGGGACAACTCCAGAAACTCCCCTAACTGCTCCCGGAGTCCGGGAAACCACCTGCTCCGCGTCCGCGGCTTCATCGGCGTCCCACCGCTCTCCCCAAGCCTTGGTCCAGGCCGCCCCGGGGCCAGCGCGCCCCCTCCCCCAGCTCCGGCGCGCTCGACCCCGGCCGCGCGAGAACCCGCTCCCGGAACGTGCAGGCAAGAAGCAGGTCTGGAGCCCGCAGGCTCCCCCACGCACGCCTGAAGGCACCCACCTTCCGAAAGTAGTCGTCGCCCTCCTTCTCGAGCGGCTGGGGGGCCGCGGGCAGCAGCGTATCGGTCATGCTGGCGGCGCGGACGCGGAGCGGGCACTGAGGCTGGGCTGCAGCGCCGGTCCCGAGGGCTCCCGCTCCGCCCCGCCTCGACCCCGCCCCTGCCCCGCCCCCGAGTCCGCCCCGACACGCCCTCAGCCCCGCCTAGGCCACGCCCTGGTCACGCCCCCAGCCCGCCCCGGCTCGGGATTGGCTGGGCGGAGCCCCCGCGCGCCCGGGCTCCTGGCACGTCCCGAGCCCTTTCCCACAGAACTGTCCCCTGGTCCGGAGCAGCGGAGTTAAACGTGCCGAGAAGTAGCGGTCGGTCCTTCCCCGGAGGAGTCAGGACGGGGGCAGCGACCTGACCCCACGCCACGGCGAGGGCGCTCGGGGTCCTGGGGCTGAGTGAGCCGTCTGGAATGGGGAACCGAGGCTGGAGTGGCTTTGAACACTCACCCTCGCGGCAGGGACTAGAGGCATCCTACGGGGGTCGCCTACCCAGGAGCCCCTGGAAAGGTTTTGATACATGGAAGACTCGGTGTTGTCCTTGAGCGCTTTTATATTTTCGGCCGCGCAACAGAATGAAATCACACTCTCTTGAGTCGAAGACGTTAAATACAAAGTACATTTGAGCCCGGCCCCCTGGTTCAGGAGCTAATTGGGGACAGCGGTACGTGTTCTGCACCACTCACACACGCCCCGCTGCCCCGCAGGCTTAGGGTCAAGAGCCCTGGTCGGCAGGGCCAGGCCCTGCACGGTCACGCATCCTACAATCACTTCCTTCCCCAGCCCGGGAACAGTTTACACAATTGCTACTCGGCTTCACGCACTACTAAATGCCTCAAATACAACAGAACAGTTTGTTCGCACGACATGCCACGTTTCTCCTTAAAAAAAAAAAAAAAAAGTCTTCGCGTCTTTAATCCAAAAACTTAGACATTAGCCCAAGACCATAAAATACGTAGAAGAAAACAGATGGGTTCTCCTTAATGTCATAGAGGAGAAATCCAATTCAATGGCCAGGGAAACAAAAGCAAGAATAAACAAATAGAATTCTATCAAGTGAAAAAAAAAGCATTTACTCAGTGAAAGGACCTACCACAAAACCAAAAAGGAAACCCAGCAACTGGGAGAAGGAATTTGCACATCATACATCTAACAAGGGGTTGGTATCCAAAACATAGAAAGAACTCACATGACAACAACAAAGCAACCCTTTTTTTTTTCGGTGGCAAAGGGATGAGTCAAAGAGTGCATGCTTCACTGGTGTGGTGGGATCCCAGCACGGCTTGAGCACCACCTGGAGTGATCCCTCTTCCCACACCCGTAGTACCAGTACCACTGCCCAGCCCCCCCCCCAAAAAAGTGCAAAAGACCTAAAAAGACACTTCTTCAAAATTCTATTTCACTTATGGAAATGAAAACCAAAACCACAGTGAGATACCACTTCACACCAATGGAAAGGAATGACCTATATAAAAGACATTGGAAACAAGTATTGGTGAAGATCTGGAGAACAGTAATTCTTGTACACTACTTGTGAGAATATAAGTTGGTGCAGCCTCTATGAATAAGCAGTATAGAGATTGCTAAAAAATATAATAATGAAAAATGATGCAGGTGAGATGGTACATGTGTTAAAGTACTTGCCTTGCATGAAGCGAAACCTGGTGAACCATGAACCATGTGGTTCCCCAAGTAATGACAGGAGTGAACTCTGAGCACAATTAGGTATGATCCAAACCCTTCCTCCAAATAAATACAATCTTAAAAACCTTAAAAACTAGAGACCGGAGAGATAGTATAATGGGTAGGGTGTTCGTCTTGCACATAGCCGACTGGGTTTTGATCCCCGGCATCCCATACGGTCTTCTGAGCACTTCCAGGAGTAATTCCTAAGTGCAGAGCCATGAGTAACCCTTGAGCATGACCAGCTGTTGCCCCCCTCCACAAAAAAAAAAAAACAGCCTAAAAACTAGGGGCTGAAGAGACTTTGCCCTGAGTGCAGTCAACCTAGGTTTGATCCTTAGCACTTCATATGGTATTCCAAACACCACCAGGAATGATTCCTGAGTGCAGAGCTAGGTATAAACCTTGAGCACCTCCAGGTACGGAAAAAAAAAGATAAAACTCAGAAATTTCAGATCATCCAATGATACCTCTTTTTTATCTAAAAGATGTAAAGATATAAAAAATTTAAAAGGATATTTGCTCTCCTATATTCATAGCAACACTATTCCCAATAACCAAAATACAGAATCACCCTAAATACTCATCCACAGAAGACTAGATAAAGAAGTATGTTATTTATACTCCATGGAACACTGTTCTGCCGTTTAAAACATGTAACCAGAGCAGGGAGATAATAGCTCAAAGGCAGAGTGCACGTAGTTTGCAAATGAGATGACCCAGCCTTGAGCAAGATGCCCTGCAGTAGCCCTGAAGCACCACAGGGTGTGGCCCAAAACCAAAACCCAAAACAAACAAAGATGAAATTGTGCCATTTGGGACAGAATGGATAGGTCTTTTTTTTTTTTTTTTTTTTTTTTTTAATTTATTTATTGAATCACTGTGGGAAAGGTTACAAAGCTTTCAGGTTTATGTCTCAGTCATGCAAATATCAAACACATTTCCCTTTACCAATACTTATTTTTTACCATGAAAAACCCCAATAAAACCCCACCCCCCACCCCTCCCCGTCCCTGTGAAGCAGATGAATTCTAGTTAACACTCTATCTGCTTTGATTAGATTCATTGTTTCAATAAAAGATTCACCACTATTATTTAGAGTTTACCCCCCCCCCCCCCAAATCAGACATGCTGAAAAAGCATTGTGAAGTGATTTGCTTTCTACGGCTGGGTTCAAGAATTAAATGTTGGTTTTGGATTTCTGCTCTTTTACCTATTGACCCTGGAAGTATTTCTACTGAAAGTCAGATAGTTAAGAAATTGGTTTCTGTGTTCTGGAGTCCTGGCCGTGCTGGAGAGCCGCTCGCGGGGGGCAACCGGTGGCCTCAGTAGGGCGTGAAGGGCGGACCGAAACGCCCCCCTTCCCATGAGGTTTTAGTCGCCCCCACACTCCCGGCTCATACCTGCTGTCCACAAGGCTCCCATGTGGCCGCCATCTTTCTTTCCAAAGAGGAGAGGGCGAATGGGGCAACACCCTTTCCCCTCCGGCAGACTTGATGGCCTGGATCAATGCAGAGTCCGTTCACTTTTCTGCTCCAAGCTGCTGGGTTCTGCATTAAGTCCTTGTGCTTCTGGGGCCGTGGCCGTGCTGGAGAGCCGCTCGCGGGGGGCAACTGGTGACCTCGGTAGGGCGTGAAGGACGGACCAGAACGCCCCTCTTCCCATGAGGTTTTAGTCGCCCCCACACCCCCGGCTCATACCTGCTGTCCACAAGGCCCCCATGTGGCCGCCATCTTTCTTTCCAGAGGGAGGAGGGCGGAAGGGAGCAACACCCTTTCCCCTCTGGGCAGAAATGATTGCCTGGATTAACGCATAGTCCTTTCACTTTTCTGCTCCAAGCTGCTGGGTTCTGCATTAAGCCCTTGTGCTTCTGGGGCTGTGGCCGTGCTGGAGAGCCGTTCGTGGGGGGCAACTGGTGACCTCGGTAGGGCGTGAAGGACGGACCGGAACGCCCCCCTTCCCATGAGGTTTTAGTCGCCCCCACACTCCCGGCTCATACCTGCTGTCCACAAGGCTCCCATGTGGCCGCCATCTTTCTTTCCAGAGAGGAGAGGGCGCAGAATGGATAGGTCTTAAAGTGATATTACTAAATGAAGTAAGCAAAGAAGAGAAAGACAGTTATTAAGGAATAGTCAAACCAACTGAAATAATTAAGAACAGTTTATTCCTAAACATATTAATCAGGGAATAAAATAAGGGAACTCAGGGCCTAGGTCTTATTAACTTACACTGCGATTATCTTTAAACTCCTTGACTGCAAAGATTTTGTTTAGATTTGTTCAATGTCTAGAGTCTGAGAGATAGGGCATTTGCCTGGCACATGGTTAACCAAGGTTTGATCCCTGGAATCCGATATGGTCCCCTGAGCACCACCAGGATAAATTGCTGAGTGCAGAGTCAGGAGTAAGTCCTCAGTACCACCTGGTGAGGCTCAAAATAAAAAAGATTTATTCAATGTCTAATTCTAATTCTATACCTAAAATGTACCTGTCATGGGAGATGCGTGCTGAAAGTAGGCTATAGACCGAACATGATGGCCACTTAATACCTGCACTGCAAACCACAACACACTAAAGGAGAGAGAGAGAGTAAAATAGAATTGCGGGGGAGGGGGGGAGGGGGAGAGGGTAAGGGGGGAAGGGGGGAAGGGGGAAGGGGTACAGGGAACATTGGTGGTGGAGAATGGGCACCGGTGATGAATACTCGATCATTGTATGACTGAAATGTAAGCACGAAAGTTTGTAAGTCTGTAACTGTACCTCCTGTATCTCATAGTGAGTCATTAAAAATTTTTTAATTAAAAATAAATAAATAAAATGTATCTGTCATGTACTGATACTAAAAAGTTGTTAATTGGAATAGTTCAGGAAAAATTCAATGAAACTATAATTTGTAGAAAAAGTGAAAAGACTTGTTAGATGGTTTTACATGTGGAATATGCTAAAACAATAAACTGGCAAGAAAAACTAACAGGTAGACTGGGTGGTTACTGGAGAATGGGGAATGGGGGAGGGGTGGAGCAGAGGGGCTTTCAGGGCTGGAGGCTCTGGAACCTTGAAGACAAGAGCTTTACACACTATAAGTGGTGCGATGCCAAATCCTTGAAATGCCATAATATTATAAATTGATGACAAGTGAATAAAAGAATAACTTTAACAGGGAAGAAAAGGAAGTGCAGTAGAGGTTGTTGAAAAGCTTTAAAATAAATGTTGACAACAAACATGAAATGAAATGAAATAAACGTTTAAAAATCTATCTCATTACTTCCAATTCAAAGATGATAATAAGAAAATGCATTTCTAGAAAGAACCTAGAGAAACCTACCCAGCTCAGCACAATGACAGGTAAATTTGGGAAATTTTCTGTCAGATGCAGAAACTTCCCTCTTAAAGTCAGAAGGGAATAAC